GAAATTCGTTTATTTTTATTACCAACGAGCAAACAACTAAAAGGAATAAGAAATAAAATATGGTGAAGGCGCCGGTCACAGTATTCACAATGATGCAATATAATATGCTAGATATTAAAACTTCCTGATCTATGAGTTTTGATGGAAATATTAAAACACAACTTGGAGATTAGACAGATTAGAGGTGATGATTTTAAAAAAAAATTATTAAGTGAAACAATTTAAGTAAAGAAAGAGAAGGGGTACAATGGACGCGATTTTTTTGTTAAAGAATGTCATTCAGTCAAACCTAGAGGTAAAGAGAAAAGTATACATGAACTTTGTTTTGTCTAAAAGAAAAGTACTGCGTAGTAGACAGGGGAGGTTGTTAAATATGTTAAGGGTAGGTACCCTACAAGAAGGAATGATAGGGATAGAATAGTGACGTTATATTAAGAAATAAGGGGAGAAACAAGAAAATTTTGGATGGGAAAAGAAGTAAAACAACGATGTAAATTGAATTCAACAAATATTTAAGTGATTTAGAGACAGTTGAGCACAGTAAGGGAGTATGGGATGGAGGAAAATTTGTCTTATGGGGATGATATTGCTTTGTTGTCTACAGATCATTATCAAGGAGTATATGAGGGATAGGGTAAAGATTGTTGAAAAACGATTGGGATAGAAGGTAACAATTGTTTGATGTAAATGTTAGATGTTTAGCTTTTTCTGGAGTGAAACTATGGAGATGGAAAGAGCAGAATCAAGTGGAGAACTGATATAAAAATGTATTTTTTATCTGAATAGATATACACCGAATTACGTGGTTAGGGAAGAGAAAAATGTGAAAAGGTGTTGGGAGATATAGAAAAATGGTAGTTAAATATGAGATAAAGTTAGAAAAAGTAAAGGAGGGAGCTATAAGAAGGGAGATATGTGGAAAAAAACCTTAAAAATTGATATAAAAAATAGATACCATAAATAAAAGGACGAACGTTTAAGGGAGCTAAAGCTAAATCAGGTCCTATTAAATGAATGGATAAGGATGGATAAGTATGTTGGAAAAATGGTGAAAATAAGCTGAAGGAAGACATTAAGAAAAATGACAAGTCGATGTATGTGGAATGCATAAAATCTTGGTTATGGGAACATCGGCAGGGTGATAGTGAGCCAGGGTAAGTGAAATGGATGAAAGATTTTGATGTATTAGCAAGGGTAGGAAATAAAAATAGAGTATATAAGTATTGGTTGAAGAGGGAAGAAAAAATAAGCAGAATATGCGAAAGATGTGATGCGTCTGACGGGAGATGTGATGAAAGTAAGGATTTGAAAGAATGAAAGGGATTAATAAAAGGATGTGGAAAAGGCTCGTGCTATTAAGAAATATTTTGAAAATAAATTAAAAAGGAATGGGTGCAATAGTAAAGTAGGCAATGTAAGTCTAGATAAGAGGGAGAAGGAAGCTGTGTAAAGGAAATTGAAACTGTAAAGCAGGTACTGAGAATAAAGGAATGGAGTAATGTAAATGGATGGTGGAAGGTACATAATAACAATCGGATAGAGAAGTTCAGGGAAATTCTAAAAAATTAAAAGATTTGGAAGTTAAGGTGATGTTAAGATACCTTTGGTGCATTTATTTAAAACTGTAAGGAGATGAAGTTCTGATTGTCTATATGTGGTGAAAATAGAAAAGGACAGTTGTGAGTCTTATAAATTTTTGTTGAGTAAATGAGGAAAAGAGATGGTAAAATAGGTTAAAGAAGAAGTTGTTTACTAGAAAATTGTATTTATTATTTCAGTTTATGAAACACTTTGACATTTTTGTTAGTGATTATTATGAAATATTAACATGAAAATTCATTTTTCAATTTTTTTTACTCAGTATAAACTACCTCAGGTTAATGATTTTCCCACATTAACCTGAAATATCAAAATTCTCGAAAATTTCATTTTAAATTCTTTTTAAAACTCATTTACATCACCCATCACCGCAAATTCTGTAGATTAAAGCATAGAATATGTCTAATTTTTAAACGAAAATTTCTATTAACTACGGTAAAGACGACATCGAAAACTTAATTTAGTTTTTGATTTAATAAAGATAGGCCATAGTAAGCCTTTGCCTTAATTCAAGTTTACTTAAGGATTGGTTTTAATTAATAACAATAATTGCCACATAGGTACAAAGGGATCAATACGAAAAAACTCACCGTTGTGATTAGAAACGGACAAGTCCCTGCTTCTTCCTTTCTGTCATTGGCGAATTTTCTTGATGATTGTGGAAAAAACCATTTTGCTACAAAAAGTTAATCGCAATCAAAACATTGTAACCTTTTTTTAAATCATTAATTATGAATGGTTCACTTTTATGTGCAAGTTACCGTAGTTCGTTTATTTTTATTACTTAGTTAACATGGAACAAAAGAATCGCGACTTGAAAAATATTTTTGACTTTATTGTACCATAGTTTTTTTCTTAACAGTACATGCATGCAAGTAAAAGTTTGAGCAAACAACTAATAAGAATAAGAAATGAAATATGGTGAAGGCGCCAATCACAATATTTACAATGAGGCAACATAATACGTAAGATATTAAAACTTCTTGATACGAGGGTGGATTGATAAGTTTCCGGCCTGACCAAGAAAAACAAGGTTTTTAAAAACCATAGTTTTTTTCTTAACAGTACATGCATGCAAGTAAAAGTTTGAGCAAACAACTAATAAGAATAAGAAATGAAATATGGTGAAGGCGCCGGTCACAATATTTACAATGAGGCAACATAATACGTAAGATATTAAAACTTCTTGATATATGAGTTTTGTTGGATATATTAAAACAAAACTTTGACATTAGGCGGATTAGGGCTATAATTGATGCGATTTTTTGCTAAAGAATGTCATTCAGTCAAACTTACGGGTAAAGAAAAAGTAGGGAATGTAAGTATTGGATGAATCAAGGAGAAAGAAGTTGTCAAAAGGAAATTGAAACTGCTTTGCAGGTACTGAGAATAAAGGGATGAAGGGATGTAAATGGATGGTGGTTGGTACACAATAANATTTAATTTAGTTTTTGATTTAGTAAAGATAGGCCATATTAAGCCTTTGCCTTAATTGAAGTTTACTTAAGGATTGGTTTTAATTAATAACAATAATTGCCACATAGGTACAAAGGGAACAATACGAAAAAACTCACCGTTGTGATTAGAAACGGACAAGTCCACTGCTTCTTCCTTTCTGTCATTGACGAATTTTCTTGATGATTGTGGAAAAAACCATTTTTCTACAAAAAGTTAATCGCAAAAAAAACATTGTAACCTTTTTTAAAATCATTAATTATGAATGGTTCATTTTTATGTGCAAGTTACCGTAGTTCGTTTATTTTTATTACTTAGTTAACATGGAACAAAAGAATCGCGACTTGAAAAATATTTTTGACTTTATTGTACCATAGTTTTTTTCTTAACAGTACATGCATGTAAGTAAAAGTTTGAGCAAACAACTAATAAGAATAAGAAATGAAATATGGTGAAGGCGCCGGTCACAATATTTACAATGAGGCAACATAATACGTAAGATATTAAAACTTCTTGATATATGAGTTTTGTTGGATATATTAAAACAAAACTTTGACATTAGGCAGATTAGGGGTACAATTGATGCGATTTTTTGTTAAAGAATGTCATTCAGTCAAACTTACGGGTAAAGAAAAAGTAGGGAATGTAAGTATTGGATGAATCAAGGAGAAAGAAGTTGTCAAAAGGAAATTGAAACTGCTTTGCAGGTACTGAGAATAAAGGGATGAAGGGATGTAAATGGATGGTGGTTGGTACACAATAACAATGGGATACAGAAGTTCAGGGAAATTATAAAAAATTAAAAGATTTGGAAATTAAGGTGATATTAAGAAACCTTTGGTGCATTTACTTAAAACTGTAAGGGAGGGAGTGCTTATTGTCTGTATGTGGTGAAAATAGAAAAGGGTAGTTGTGAGTTTTAGAAATTGTTGTTGAGTAAGTGAGGAAAAGGGATGGTAAGATAGGTTAAAGAAGAAGTTGTTTAGTAGAATATTGTATTTATTATTTTAGTTTATGAAACACTTTGACATTTTTGTTAGTGGTTATTATGAAATATTAACATGAAAATTCATTTTTCAATTTTTTTTACTCACTATAAACTACCTCAGATTAATGAGGGAAATTTGTTGATGTTGTGTCACCGTCGTCGGGAATCGAACCCGGGACCTTTGGCTTTACGGGTCAAATCGACAAATCTGTGACCTAATAAGTACGATTTGTCGTTGTTGCTGTTGTCATCTCTCGTAGCTTAATGGTCAAAGCATTGGTTCCAAAAGCCAAAGGTCCCGAGTTCGATCCTCGGCGAGGGTGTGACTGCAGCAACAAATTTTCCGTCAATAACCTGAAGCAATTTATAGCGGGTAAAAAATTGAAAATTAATTTTCACAAATTAATATTTGATATTAACTACTATTAAATGTCAAAGTATTTCAATTACTATCTCTATAAAAAACACATATATCCTATATTGATACAATTATTTTGTAATACTTTCTTATAACAGAATTTTGTAGTTTATCACTGGTGTTCAACGTATAGAGAAGCTTTCAAAAGTAAAACTTTTTTCTTGATAATCCTGTGACTTAATTTCCTCATTATTTTTCTTAAAGTATCCTAACCCTGGCTTATAAATTAAATCATATATTCGGTCATATATATTGAACATTAGATTTTTGTAATGTATTGTGTATAGTAGTTATTGAGTGAATTGTGTTATTTGGATTTCAGGTCGATCCCTGGGTTACAAAAGATGGTTTATATCCGTTACCAACAGAAGAAGAAAATTGTCATTTGGTGGAGGTTACCGATGAAGATGTCGCTAAAGTTGTCACATCTATTCCAAAGCTTGATACACTTATTTTAATAAAGCATATGCTGAGGAAGCATTCGTTTCAGGTAGGTTAAAAAATATATCTGACAACAAGAAATATATGACACTNTAATGAGTAATAACTCCAAAATCGAAAATGTAGGTGATAAAACCTGTTGCATCTTTCCAAAATTTCCGTAATCACAAGCTGCAAACTCAAAATTGAATATTTTTGTACACAATACATCCTTTAACACTTTATTTAACGTTTATTACATGGTCGTAGTCGCGTTGTACTGATAATATGTTGGGCAAGGACGTTTATCAGTATCCATTTACTATCCTTTACTTTCATAATATTCTCTCTCTGAATTTGAATGGAAGCTATGAATGAACATATGCTACACACAATACATAACCCTAAAATGAATGCAGGTCAAAATACAGACGAAGCTCTGGTAAGTTTTTAAAAAATATCTCACAATTATAAATAAATTCACTTTTATCTTTTTCAGATTTCAGAGTTTATGAAGCTTGGATGTAAGTCGAAAAAGGAGGCTGCACAAGTGCTGCAAATATACTATGAATTGTCTGAAGGTATGTACACTAAAACATACTTTTATTAAATTTAAAATGACCTCAGTAACTAATAGAATTAGAAACTTTGTTAATATCTTAAAATATTTTTTATATTCTATTCGACACCATATTTAGTGAGAAGGTATTGGGAAGTGGAGTACTTCTTTGATATCAAAACCGAAAAGATGTACCTTACTGCAAAAAGAAAAAGGGCAGCTGCTCCAACAATATTTCTACCAGTTCCTACCACTGAGAAGCTATCTCTTATAGAATTACAAAATTTTATGGATTCAGTGGCATCAGACTCGAGGAGGTAATTTTTAGCTGCAATTTAATTAAAACATGACAAATAAAAGTAAATTTTTCTTTTAGTGTTTGTCTTGTAATGATAAATTCTGATAGTACAACAATTTTTTATGAATTGAGTGAAGGATTGAATCTCCCGCAAGAGAGTTCCAGAAAAGTGCAAGAGAATCATGGAGAGGCAATCGATAAAGTTTTGAGAAAACATCATAATGAAATTAGTCAATCTGCACTCCTTGGACTTACACTTAAATTGCCACAGCAAAATAAATCTTAACGTTGTGTCTGTTGTTTTTAAATGTCTTGTTGGTACATAAATATAAGTTTTTAAATTTGTTAATTGTAATAAATTATTTTATTTTATATGAGTATTTTTTGAAAACTCCTACTGATCGCAATTAACTTAAAACATTGTTAAAATTAAATTGAAAATTTAATAGATCATTTTGATCTTTCATTTTCATAAAATAAAATGTATAAAAATAGCAGTAGGAGTATAACAACTTAATAGCATTGGGTGATTTAGACGAATTATTGTCAATTAATAATTTAAACGAATAAAATGTTAACAATATCAGAATTATTAATGCATTTTAAATAAGAATAATTCAATACGCATAACAACATAATTTAATTTTGGAATTATTTATTGTCCTACATTATATTAATGTTTTTCAGGAATTGGTTATTTAATTTCTTTATTTTAAATGTTTACATAAATATATAAACAATATTTACAAAATGGAAAATAATGTATTTACGTAATTTAAACTTAATGCAACGAAGTACACCCTACCAAGCATCGAGGGTGACTAACTTGCACGTGCAATGTGTATTGTTATAAAGTGCATCTGGCTATCTGATTGGGTTTCACTTACCGCGTAATTTTATAGCCAATAAGAAACTGGGTCAAATAAACAGCTGTTCGTACGGGGATATCCTCTGGTATGCAATAGTAAACAAGTGCCCACAGAGTTCATTCACCTTACTATAAATTCACCGTTTAATAAATTCATTCTAAAATATTAAAAATGGAATAACTTCGGTGGTTATGAATCGATTTAGTTGCGATATTCAACAAAATTTAGAGAATTTATTACAGCATTATTGTTACCCAGTGAACTCACAAATTCAAAGACAGAAGGGTTTATTTCAGAGTTAATTAAAATAAATTACTTACCTACAATTCAAAAAATGTATATTTTGAAAGATGAGAGCCATATTTTAGGCACTTACGTACATGAAAAATGATATTTGCGAATAAAAAAAAGTTTATTTAACTTAGGCACACTTGTATTGATATCTAACACGGTTATACATTTGCAATAATCACAACTTGCTAATAAGTGTAATAAACGTTTTATACTTATCAACATAATACTACTATTTAATAATCAATGGAATAAATAACGTTTTTCGTTGGTGAAGACATATTGGCCGGATGGTGCCTACGTCTCACGAAAGTTTGCAGTCTTGACGTCGAAATTAATTTATTAGTACTTTGGGATTTCTAAAAATATCAAAAACAAGAAATAAAAAATTAGTTCCTACCGTGCACACTAATTAAAAAAAAAATGTACGTACGTTTTTAAACCAAGATGATTCCAAACATTGGTTCATCTTCATTCTTTGGCAAGGCAGCAGGCTTAGCATGGAACTAATAAGGCTTTTGGCATCTTCAGAAATGTCACTAAAGAATTCGTCAGGGAAGCAAAAATCGCATTTCAAAATATTCGCTGTCGTTTCCTCCATCGAGTCGTCCAAAAAGGGCGACACACCACTTAGAAAAACGTACAGGAAAACACCGACAGCCCACAGATCTGTATGCTTTCCAACTGGCTGACCCAAGACTAGTTCTGGAGGGGCAAATTCTAAACACGCAGGGGGCAGAATCACATTCGCTGAGGTATTTACGCAATTTCCGAAGTCCACTAATTTTAATATCGGAGAGGGGTTGCAACAAGTGTCCACCATCACGTTTTCAGGCTAAAAGGCAAATTATACATCATAAATTGGATTGACGTGTTTATACAAATTTCAAAGTTTGAACACATAAATTAAGTCTGAATTACCTTAATATCTAAATGAGCGAGATCCTTTTCGTGCAGCCACGAAACAGCAGACATCAACTGTTTTGTGTAAATTCTAACGTCTTCTTCTTCATAAAATTCATTAGAACAAACAAAATTAAACAAAAGGGGACCTTTAACTCTGAAAAAAGAACATCAACAACTTAATTCCAAGTCTCCACATTAAAGACATGATCTTCTCTTACAGTTCTAACACAATTGTATCGATTCCTGGCACTGGAGCATTATCAAACAGAGCCAAAGCCCTGATAATATTCGTATGTTGCATTCCAGCCAGGAGGCTGTATTCTGCCTGAGTGACTTTGTGATGCTGCTTCCTTTTCCACACTTGTTTCAAGGCAACTTCGTGACCTGTTCCCCGATCTTTGGCTTTCCTTACTACGGCAAATCTTCCTCTGCTGATCTCGTCCAGTTCCATGTAACGTCTGTTAAACTGTTCCTGTTGCCATCGGAGTCCATCGGCCACGGGAAGAGTCACGGCAATGCTCGGGAGACCGACAAAATTATTTTCAGCCGCCACCACACGGAAACTGTACGTTTCTCCCGGATTTAAATTTTCCACGACGTAGGAAAATTCTTTGGCACCATGCTTTTTACCAGCTGTCAGCCATTCGCCGGTACCTAACTTACAAAATTGGACTAAGAAATCACAGTAAGAGTCACTATCCCATTCGATGAGAACGCTGGAACAGGATCTCACTTGAATCTTTGGTTCGTGCAGGGGTGGCAAGGAGTCAGTTACGGTCAAAATTGCCGAACATTGACTTGTACCAATTTCATTTGATACACTACAAACGTACGTTCCGGAATCGGATAGTTTTAAGTTGTTGATCACCAAACGTGCTTGGCCATCGACAATTTTGTTGATCGAAAATCTTCCGTTACTTCTTAAGGCACATGGATCGGGTTCGATTTTTCTCCAGTTGGCCTTAACGCTAGTTCCAGAAACTTTATTTATTATACATTTAAATGTAACCTTTGATCCACATTGAGCAGTTATGTTTCTCAGCTTTTCTTTGAATTCTGGATGAGACGTTTCACTAGTTGAAGTTTCTGAGCATAAGTTGCTGTCTAAGGAACGTCGTCCTTGGGATTTTTTGAATTTAAAAGGCCAATGTTTTCGATTGTGGTATGTAAGAACGTGAGAAGGTAACCATTTTTCTTCCTGGCTATCATTCGGTTTTACGAGATAGCCTTTGACAGGATCTTGTTGAATTATCTGAATGATTTCGCCTAAAACCATATCCGGCCAATCAACAACTACTCGCGCTTGCATGCCGGGTAGCAGGAGGGCATTATCTAACTGTAAAATTGTATCGGTTATTTACCTAATTTAATATTGAATTAAAAGGTTGCACTTCATCCAGATGGAATTAGTAATTAGTATTTGAAAAGCAACATTGTTAGTGTTAAAATGCCACGTCACCAAAAAACGAAAATGCTTAGTAAGCCCCATAAGCACCACACTTAAAGATGAGTAGGAAGCAGGAGGAAAATAAAACAAATAAATAGTAATTCTACATTTTCTGAATAATTACTTTTAATTAAATTTATTTGCGAAAAATAAATAAATTTTCGTTTAGTTTCTTAAAAGAATTTTAAAACTTTTATTTGAGTAACAGAATTGTTAGTTATATATTCATCATTACAAGTTCAATGGAAGATTATTTAAAGTAGAAATGCGTTTTTAATTTAGTTAGTAAGTTTGGATTTTATTAATTTATTATTTATATATCTATAGGGTTGTTCGGAAAGTCATTTCGTTTTTTTTTGTGGAAATGAAAGACAATTTTCGTATAATAAACAAATACTTTATTAAATTATATATTGACCGTTCTGGTCCAACACCTTTTGCCATCTTTCTGGTAGTAGCATAATTCCACGCTCATAAAATTTTTGGTCTTTGCTGGCAAAAAACTGATCGAGGAGGTTTTTGACCTCCTCATTTGAGGTGAAGGTTTTACCGTCTAAAAAATTTTGGACTGACCGGAACAAATAATAATCCGATGGTGCCAGGTCTGGAGAATATGGTGGGTGTAGCATTGTATCCCATTCAAGCTGTAAAAGCTTTTGGCGAGTGACCAAACTTGTGACCATTTTTCGTCCCCAGTGATAATGCGCTTCAAAAACGGATCATTTTCGTGACGTTTGAGAAGCGAATCGCAGACGTCAATGCGGCTTAAATGTGAAGTTGGGTGCAAAAGAATACAATTAAATCCTCTGTCGGGAAAAAACGAAATGACTTTCCGAACAACCCGATATGTATACGTTACAGCACCTCAGAACAATATGCATTCAAAGTGGAACAAAGTAACCATCAAATGTGGTTCTAGTAATAGTTTCTTGTACGAACATGCAAAAGAATGCAAGGCATATAATATATGTAAATTGCTAGAAAAATAGTCATACGTTTGTTAATTAACAGAAATACCATAAAGCTGTTTTGGGAGATAGATATGTTATTAAAGTAGTTGTTGTTATATTAGGATACAAAGATTAATTTTATCAGCAAAGCTCCATGCTCACCTATAAAGAATTTTACTACAGCTCCATGTTATCCTATTTATTCTAAAATATAACACTTCATCCTTGCGTGTTGGAACTGAGCAACTAATTTTTAGGAATAACAATATTTAGGATATATATATCTATCACAGCCTTTGGTAAGTAAGTTAAGTGGTAAGTTCTGTTGATAATTATCAAGATACCTAAGAGAAAATAACTCCTTATAACATGCAATTTTAACATACATATGTAGTATTTTGCAACAGATACGTAATAATGATAATTTAACATAAGTTGCTACTTGTTTGTGACAACCAAATTCATTTTAAGCAAGCAATATACAACAGCAAATCAAATACGCAATGCCCAAATATCATAAATTAAATAAAAAATTATTATAGGTGTAGGTATAAAAAAATTAAAGAAATAAAAAATCTACAGAGACTTAATTTGATTCATTAATAACAAGACCTTTTTCATGAACAATAATGTTAGTTCATTTTTTCGATAAATATTCAAGAGCAATTTGTTTTGATCAAAAATACAATTGCACAGATTTTTTTTTTAAATGTATTGAAATTAATTTACTTACCGTGGGTGAATTGGCTTCAGACCATCGCCGATGAAGGTCATTTTTTTCAGTTTCTTTAGGTGATGCCAAAACCGTGTTATCGTTTTTGTGCTTCGACCTTAATGTATTTCGAAATCCTTCGAAAAAAGTCAATTTTGTTTTGTTATGAGTGTGATTTTTATCGGCAACTAAGTTTATATCGGCTTCGGAGGGTATCCCGATGGTTTTGGCTTTCTGAATGGCGTGAGGGGTTGTTTTCCTACATTCACTCTCATTCTCCGGCAAGGGATTCGGAGTGGAAGGGGTGGATAATGCTTTTCGACAAGTTGGATTCCATAAGGACGATAGATCGCAGACAGAACTGTTTAGAAGAAGTACAAGTGAGGAAGAAGTCTTACAAAAAAAAAAAAATAAAACTTAAACCAACAATTTTCTACTTCATGAGACAAGAAAATGATTTGAAAATAAAGAGTGCATCGTTTCCATAATAATTCATTTTCGATGGTGCAATTAACACACAGAAGTAAGTAAATCATGCCCTATTAGAGTGTTAGAGAAATAAAGAAAAATTGAGAGATTGTGTTTACGTCATCGACATAGTCTTTAAATAGTCATTGATATATACGCAATCTCTCAACTGTACGTAGTTTGAAATAATTAAATAGTGAATATTCATGCATTAGTAAGAATAGAAAAAACGATTAAAAAGTATAGATTTGATAGAAATTGTAAAAGTAGTTTAGGACAGACAAATGCATCATGCTTGTACGAAAAAAATATCATTGTTAACACAAGAGCGAATAATTTCTTACTTTTTCGAAATTCATCAGAGATTGTTAAACTGCAAACTAAATCACATATGTTTCTACGTAGATATTAAGAAACCGAACTAGATAAGAACACATAAATTTTATACTAATACTAATTAGATTTGAACATGTAATAGAATTTTTAACGCGTTTTATTATTATTATTTTGTCGTAAGATTCACTGTAAAAACTTTCTAATTAGAAAAATAGTATTGCAATTGATTTTAAAAATAATGTCAACCTATTACATTATTTTTAAATCTTTTATTTATTTTTTTTTTTGAGTTGTATTTACTACACGATAATATTTGTAGTACAACAAATATAATTTTATGGGCACGAAAAATGTAAAGAAATAAAATACCTAATTGTAATTATTGGAAAATTGTTATTTGAATTTAAGTTAATTTTTAAACGTATACAAAATAATTTACAGTAAAATATTTTAAGAACTAAAGAGTACTCGCGCGAATACATGTGTTATTATATACACCTGTAGTAGATGTAAACTTACACAATAAAAGAATCGAAGAAAAAGATTAATAAGGTTGCATTGTTTCAGCATAAATTATTATTTTGTAACGAAAATTCGAAGCGTAAAATCGTCGAAATAACTAGATTGAAAAGTTTAAATCAAGTGTAAACATTTAAAAATTACTTGTTAATTAATCAATTGTTAATCGATCATTTTTATCACACGGCGATTATTATAATAGAATGTAAGCAATGAGGGAACTGAATAAAAAACAGCATTCAGTTTTCACGTTTTTATTCTATTGAAAATTGCGTTTCCATTGTTTGTCAATCATTATAATGTTATTTACAAACATACATCAACCTATATACATGACGAACATAGATTAGGTAATTAATAACTTTTACAACCAGTTTTTGTGTGTTGCAAAGAGTATTTATTACTTATTATTGGCATTATATAATTAATTAATTATTTAATCAATAAAAAAAAACAGCTGTAATACTTACTGAATCTTATTCTTTTTAGCCATTTACATAAAGAACTACAAATTGCAATTAATTAGCTCATGCGGTTCGATAGGATCGGATTAAACATTCATTAATAAATGTGTTGTGTTGAAGTGTATGTACGTTTGAAAATTTTAAATGCTTTTTTTTCTCACTACTACCGAGAAAGTGCTGAAAAAATGGCTCACAAATCATACTGAAGCCGAAGTATAATTAGAGGCCCACAACCCGTCCACTTATTCTCGAAAATATGCGGACATACCGACAAAAATGACAAGAAATATTTTCGGCACCTAATTAAACCGACAATAAGCCGAAAATATATTAGCCAAGAAATATTTTCGGCACCTAATTAATTTTATGCCTAAAATTTTTGTGTTGGAATATCAATTTAAATCAAAAAATATTTTCGGCGCCGAAATAAATTATTTTCGGCTCTTAAAAGGATATTGTCCGCACTTTCGTCAGCTTGCAACAATTTTTTTGTCCCATCGGCAAGTCCAGAAAGTTATTTGGCCCAACTTTTGATTTAAAGTAGCAACTAAAAGCAGTTCTACGTTGTAAATTTTGGCAATACGAAATTTATACATATGTATATCTAGAGGCTATTAAATAGCCAATAAGCTAAATGAAAGAAAGTTAATTCCTTTCAAAAACGTTAAAGACTGTAATGAGTACATGTGCTCTTTATTTTTATGACGATTTGTAAAAGTTACAAAGAATAAACTACCGGAGTATATTAAAATATAATTCTTTTAAATTTACTTTATTATTTTCCATTAAAAATTGTGATATATAAACGTCAACCCTCAAAATAAGTGAGAATATAGTTCCACTTTTGAGCAAGTAAAACTTTTGAGTCTGCATAAATGCAACGTACACACTGTACATGGAAATTAAACTATGAAGCTCTTTAATTTTCTTTTTTTTTAAGTCTTAACGAACTGGAATTTTTTGGCGTTTTCTAATTACGAATAAGCTGATTTTTAATTACTATCAGTAATGATATAGTTACCCGTAAGAATGTGAGAAAGATGTTTTTGATTATGTGCCAAGTTTGTAAATAAATAATCGCAAACCTAAGTGAATGTAATTAAAAAAACGGATAACGAAGCACTTAGTTTATGTGTATATTAAATAGTAAAACTGCTGAATGGGGAATGCGAAGAATGTATACGTGGTTAATGTACAGGGTGTCTCATATTACCGATACACCATTGTTGAATGTTGTATTTTCTATGAGACGATTTTTCTTGTATGAAATAATATATGGGTACTAACTAAGAGTTTCTTTCAGTGGATTATTAACTGAAGTGTTTTTTTTTTTTTTTGAAAATTTGTGTGAAACGGTCCAGTGCTTCCAAACCTATCCAGTTATAAAATAGAAAATGTGAAATATTTTCTGAAATAACTATCACGAAAATTTGGATCCGCTAGGGCCTATATTAAAATTCTTACATAATAAACATCATATACCTTTCTAAATATCACATTTAAATGTAAATAAATAACCTATATGTATATACTTATGCATGTATATATACTTATCAAGAAGACTATGCAAAATATTTCACATTTTTCCTTAGTCCCATTATACAATCAATCGATCAAACAAACAAACAAACAAACAAAGAAACCCATATTAAGATTTTAGTAGTAAATTTTTTTAGTAGGTAGATACAATCCATCATTATCACCACATGTCACAACCAATGCTATTTTAGGAGATGATTATCCCAAAATGCAAGATGTAATACTCACGTTTCCCTAGTCCGTTCTTTCTGATATGCAATGGGACTTTGTATGGCTTTCAGGAAGTCCTTTTGTGTCTGCAGGATGTTGTTTATTGTCGCTATCCACTGTTGTTGCATATCAGGACTGTACGCTTGACAAGTGAATGCCACAATCGGTTTATTCGGATCGGTCGATCTCAGGGTGAAAGTCTCTTCCGAAATATTTTCTTCCATAGTCATTTTATTGACCTAGGAAACCTTAATTACTTTTCCGAAAACTGACGGTATTTAACACAAATATAGAGAAAAATACAGACAGTTACGGATGTTTGTAGAATTTGCCGGGGGACAAGTCAGGAAGAAAGTACCTAGCCTCTCAATGTTTTAACTGAATTCATAACAATTAACTAAAACGATATTATATGTGACTATTTTGGAGGCTCTGTATCTCGCTTTTGTCAACGAACGAACCAATTATTTCAACTGATACAGGGGTTGAAAGTACAAGTTGATGATATCAAAATTACAATTTTTTTTGTCTTACAATTGGTAAGCAAATAATGGAATTGTCAGACCTGTATTCCAATTGTGCTACCAGAGTGGATGAATTTCTAATAATTTTGCTGTAGATCATTGTTTAACGAAATTTTAAAAATTTTCTAGTTGTTTTAAAGAGATCAGTAGGTGTGTATTGAAACAATAGGTATTTAATTTTTAAAATTAGAAAAGAACCATATGAAAAACATTTGTAAACATTAAAAAAAAATACTTCATTGTTTTATGCCGATATCGTATCACAGAACGCTGTCTTAGTTTCTATTATCGGATAGCCTAGATAATTGGAAAATAAAACAATTTAATTGTTTGTCATAACCTTTAGCGGATGAAGTTTTTAAAGATGCGACGACAAGCAAAACAATTAATGAACTTACTTGCATGTGAGTCTTGTAGAAATACTGCGGACTGGTAAACTGAGTCTTCTTTCCCACCGCTTCGGAAAATATGATGGTTTGTTCAAACAGAAAAACTTGTAATTCCTTGTTCTTTCCAACAACAACTGAACTGTTTGCTCCGGGAACGTCGGAACAAATTAGTGGACCGTGTAAAAGTAGGTTATCCTGTGCTGTAATTTTACCCTGAAACAGAGCACCTCAATGTGTACAGAACTTATTTTAGATTCATATTTATTTGTTATTTGAATAAAAGTAAAGATGATTTTGTTTGAATAATTTTGTTATGGAATTCTGTGTTGTAATTTTTTATTAAACGTTCATAAAATACTTACTTCGAATCCTTGAAGTCTTCCAAAATCCATCATATCATTGGCAGTCTTCGGGACATCGATCATAATGTCTAGCGCTTTCCTTAGCGATTCAGCTTCACTAATTAGTCCTGCTTTCTCCGTATGCTTGAGAATATCCTTCAGCAGCAGTTGGTATTTCATTATCCTCTGAACAGGTTTGATTAGAAGATCGCATATTTGTAATTTGTGCTCCAGTTTAATGCGAAGCTCCTCGAAATAGGTGTCCAAGTATTCGGAAACGATGTATTCCGAAACTGGTTTGTTCTTACAGTAAACTACATACATGCGCAAGTTGCGTTCGTGCCTTCTAAACAGATTTCCTAGTTCCGTTATATTGTTTATGCGGAGTTTCAGTTCTTTTAGGAAAAAGCTAGAAATAATGGTAAAAGACAACATAACATCTAGGTACCCATTCGAAATGACAATTTATTAGTAGGTACTATAACTACATCAGAAGATTTGTTATCCAACACTTCTCAAAAAAAAAAAAAACGGGCATTACCGGTTTTTTTTGTCAGTTTATATTAACGTCAATGGTTAATGGTCAAACAAAAATGAGAAATGTAGAAATTTGACTGGACGTGTCCTGTTACACACTAACGGGGAGCTGAAACATGTCCCGATTTCTTAGACCCGGTCGGGCACATGATCGGTGTGTATTTAACGACATGTAGCTTATGACCCCGGCTGGGTAAATGGTCGGGGCAGATTCGAGTTGCCCGAACGGGATAATTGTCGAATATGTAGTGTCTCTGCCCCGCTCACTTACATCCCACTTTTGGGTGTTTCATTCCCATCAGCCAGTAATGCTGGTGGGCGGGAAATCCCTCCGCACTACGCCGGAAGGTAGGGCGGAAGGCCCTCTTCAGCCTGCTTTCAGGAATCGTGGGAATGGTTGGGTGGTGGTTCGGGTCAGAAAGATGAGACGGATGAAATGAAGGCAGAAGAGAATGAAAAATTATCTGTGGAATATTACAGCCTCATAATTTGTCTATGTGACCCAAGGAAACCACAGAAAAACTGGGACCAAGGCAGATGGACCCGGAATCGAACCGACGGCCTTCCGAATGCTAAGCAATGGTCTAAACCTTTGGTGCCGCTCGGTGAGATACAGGTTTAGGTTTCCTTTAAATATACTAGGTATGTATGGTAGGGATGAATTTTGGTACCCCGACTGGATGGGCCTGGTATGGAGAATAACCGAGGTAAAAAAATCTTTGGGATATCTTTCAGTGCACAGGTTCGGGTAAGTGATGTAAGCAAAATAAAGTCAATGTTCCGATCAGGTAAATGTTTAGATAAATAAATTGGTAACTGACGAGCTTCTTCCTGGGCTGCTTATGGGGGTTGTCAAATCAGACCCCTCAAAGTTATAAACAAAATGTTTACAAATTTTGTTGCATCCACTCATTTTATTTTTACTCTTAATCTTAATGCTACCTCGTAGTTTAAAAAAGTTTCATTTTAAAAATGCAAAGTACACAACTAATGGTTAATAATTTCGATTAATTACATATTACTTACTTTTTATGCCATTCGTAGATGTCCTTGATATTGCCGAATACAATTTTGTCCTTTCCGCCTTTGAGGTCTTCGGGTATCGGTATCTCACAATTTGGATCACGCATATACGTCATATAACCGTCCACGATTAACGATAAGTCTCTCACGTAAGCCTCCTCGGTTTCTACTAATTCACTCAATACGAACTGTCTTTTACGCAAATGATTCTCTTTCACTTTACCCTCGTCGACACAGTCTTCGGCCGGCTTATCACTCTCATCATCGCCGCTGAGAGCGATCGCTGTCGCATCACTCGACGAAGACTGCGCAGAGAGATCGCGGTGCGATATACAGTTTCCGCCGCACTCCGCGATAGCATCGGAAGATTTGGTATCTCTCAGCGAGGAGTTACGTTCCAGGTTCTCAGTGTGTTGCTCCTGTTAAGTAAAATTAAAAAGTGTTTTTTTGTTTTGTTGTTCCAATTAAGATTTAAGAACGACAGACTAAAAGTAGCATTTAAATAAAAAATGAATACCATAAACATACCCAAGTCAATTTCGGAAGGCGAGGTGTAGAATAAATTACTTGATTGTGAGATAGCTATCTTATGATACCGCTTTCATTTATTTGCTTGGACCTGAAATTAATGGGGTGGGTGGTGCGACGTGGTGTATTATAAGGTGTATGGAAAGGAGTAATAAAATCAAACAATTTATTGTGAGCTCTGCCTTCCGAAAACGGCTGGAGAATGTAAACTATTACAGAGTAACTACCAGTCCAAAATTTTGTATCTTTACACTATAGAAATTTAAGCTTGCTAGTGTTTGTTAGTCATTCATAAAAAATAAATACTATAAAAACTACCAAATGATCAACTTCTAATAATTACAAAGAAATCGAAGACCATATAAATCAATATAGCTAAATTGCGAGCCTGAAGGATGATTTAGGCTACATCTTTTCGGGTCCGAGCCGATGCTTTTCTTTACGAAATAATTCACGCTACATACTGATTTTTTTACTATGTTTTAACTGGGTCTATGATCGATAATACGGACTTGGCACGGACCCGAAACGGTGTTGCGTGAACCACCCTTCAGTCTTTATATTAACTGATTTGCTGATCAGAACTGTAGAAAAATTAACAAACATTTACCAAATCTAATAAAAAAAATTTACAATAAAGTAATAGTTGCGGACATTGAGTGTATTTCTACTGCAAGAACAAATATAAATTTGAATCAGTTCTGACTACAGCAAACATCAATTAGTTTGGAATCAATCGACTATGTTTAACAACTTCTGCAATACGAAAAACAAATATCGACTCAAATCAAAATAGTCATGCGGATCTGTGCAGCTTCATAATCAAATAAAGTAATTCCATTTAATATACAAGCACTAAAACATATACAAAGAGATTTATTAATGAAGGTAAATTACAAAATTAGAGATACACAGGTATTATTAAAATACGTTTTTTGAGTCAAACATATTTTACACAAAAGTAACTCGTTCAAGGGTATCTATTGATTAAAGAATCAATCGGTAATTAATTGTTAGCTTTTTTAATGGTTATTGTTAAATCGAAATGTTGTCATTATCAGAGGCGTACTTAGGACGCTATGCTATAAGGCATGTTACGTGAAGCGCACTGTATTAAGCCTAGTTCATCGGCCCAAGGACGGACCTTATTACTGACAGAACTTTTGGCCACACTATCTACATATCTCTAATTTTCAAATGTTGCATTCATAATAAATCACTCTGCATAAATATCATAATCTTTTTCAATCTCACACGGCTTAATCGTGCAACAGAAAACTAAAACAATAAAAAATATCAAGCTGCATTTAAGAGTAAATTCGCACCATTCTTTCCTTCACGATCTGTTCAATTTCAGCAAGATCTGCAGAAGTGGCACCCTCTAATGATTTCAGTGTTAAACTAGATACCTGTTTAGGAAACGTTTTAAGCATTAGGAGAGTCCAATAACCAATAATGTTTACCTAAATTGAGTACACCAAACACCTTTCTAACTTGTTCTTAAAACAGAATAAACACTTGAACTAAACTGGTCCCAAACCATGTATAAATAAGAAAAACNGAGTTAGGAGGGGTAGAGGTAGACCTAGATTAGATTACTCTTCGCAAATAGTTAAGGATGTGGGCTGTTCTAGTTTTAGGGAAATGCGAAGTTTAGCTCAGGATAGGAAAGAGTGGAGGTACGTGTCCAACCAGTCTTAAGACTGATGACCTTATGATGATGATCAAAAGTGACAATTTAATTAAGAAGAATAATTAACTTATTATTGCAAATTACAATGTTCAATGACAAATAATGATGATTGGACTGAGTCACAGTGACGTGACAATGCGATCTGAGACCTGTGGCAAATTCATCGGATGGGGCCTTAATATAATTAAGCTTCACCTTTATAAATAATGAAGTTTTCTCGAAACCCAAATAAATTTTTGCGAAAAGTTACTCTAAACGTACTCTTCCAGAATTAAAAATCGGTGATTCCCGAGCATCATTAACCCCAGGTAAAAAATAAACTGTTCTAAATGTTAGCGATATTTTTTTCTTATGAATGTGTTCAAATCTTGATAATTTATTTATATAATTCGTATATGTTCTAGAACTGATTAATTATAAAATCAATATTTTTATCAAATTTTGTAATACATCTTAGGCCCCCCTTACGGCCTCTAGGGCCAGGGGCTTATGTCGGGGGTACGTGGCATTTTGCCCGTTCTGCCACCCTATTGTTACGCCACTGCTCAGTAATTATGGTAAAGCTTTTCTAATACCTAATATAGAAGATTCCTGTGTTTCTGATTAGGTTACTCGTTTAAAATTTACATTTTAATATCGACAAGATTTCTACGAGATTTTCTTGCAAATTTTTTTTGTAAGTAGATATGCGCCAATACTTCTTTCACTAGGGTAGTGTTCGCAAACAAAATTTCATCTCAGTAGGAATGCAAATGAGAAAATGGATGGGAAGATGGGCAGATTGAAACTGTTAAGGTACCAAATTGCTTACAGGACTCTGAAACTTGTATCAAGAAATAGGATAATAGATTTCGTTTGTACCTTCGTTCGATATCTCTTTGACATTATGAGTGTCCTAGACATCGTAATTTGATTTTGAGCTTCAAACTACTTGGAATATATTGAAGAATATTTTAAATACTTGTTTCTTATCTGACACCTTTCATAATTTCATAAGAAGGTGTGTTTCCTGTTTGAAATTCAAATCATTGAGTAGGTACCTTTCTCCTATTACGCATTCATTTTCAAAATAAAGTATCACAACATACATTTGACATTATGTATGTATCTCGTACAACTTGTTAATTAGAATTTATGAATAAATATGCGGCTAAACCGACCACCAACGTAAAGACACGCATTTTCTAGGTCAACATCTTTTAATAATAACGTAGCTAGAAATTATTCAAGATTTGTGTGATATTACATTGTAAGGTGTTAAAATAAGTTTTTAACTTACCCACTAAATCCTCTCCTTTTATTAACAGGTGAAGAGGTGCTCAACGTTGCGGACCCATCGCTGGAGGCGTTTTCTGTAACAAGAAATAATTATTGCTTTACATTAATCAGTTAAAACATGAAATAATTATCAATAAAATATATAATAAAGAAGTACTTAGTAGTAAAATATTATTTTATTTCAAAAACTGACGAGTAAACAGCTTCTAAGGAACGAGATCTCATTTTATTGTGTTACTTACGACACTTAAGAAACATTTTATTCTCTAGGATGTTCATTTTCGAAAAGCCTCTATTATACTAACGAAAGAATATATTTTTATTGCATCGCGTTACGTTTAATTTTAAAAATAGGGTCATCGGAAACAGATGTGTGCTTCGCGAAAATCGAGAGTTAGTGTTAGAACAATGTTTGACAAAGCGGAAATTCTGGACCAATTTTCATTTCGAAAACGTTTTATCTGCTGGGAGGTATTCGCTCGCGCTGTTAGCGGAAGGAACACCCTCGGGCAATGTGCCAAAATTCAGATGGATACTTCGCCAGACGTACTAGAACCAATATAACACATGGTGTCAACTCATCCTGTAAGAACCTACCACATTTTGTTATGACATACGAAACAGCTGATACATGACACACGAATGTGGGTGAATTTCAATATGTTAAGTAAGTGCAAAATCAAAACAGAAACACATTTACAACCATTAAGAAATTAAGATTTAATTGATTACTCAATATAGATATATACAATTAAGATGTGGTGTAATAGGCGGATGATAAAAATGCCTTAGATAGAAAAAGACACTGGAAGAAGTAGCAGATAGAACCCAAAATCAAGCAAATGCTTTTGAGATAATAAAATAAAACAATTTATCAATCTAATGCGAATGTTAATAGGAAATCACCGAACTACAGCTAAAACAAGTAGGCGTACCTTCAAAGAAAAAACAATATCTCTCCTTATCAATCATTTCGGACATAAAAATTTACTCCTTGTTGAACTTACTCTAAAAACACACATACACAGACTAAACATCGTTATCCAAGTACGATTATCTAAAATTAGAGAAACGTTCAGCTATTTTGGAGAATACAAGCCAACATTAACTATAAAGCTCCTAACCAATTGTAAGTATGTGTACGAAGAGGCGCTTTAAGTTCGCGAATGGGGGATAAAAAGTGAAAATAAAAGTACGAATTTATTTTTCCTACTCAATATATTTACCTGCTACGCTTATACATTTTTCCGATCTTTCAATTAATTTACGTATACCCTTGAAAAAAGATGTTTTGTCTTTGTCTGAAAAATACGCAGAAACTGCATCCTTCACTTCTTCGTCGCCTGAAAATTTCTTCACAAGAAGATTTTTTTTCAAGTTTGGGAATAGGTAATAATCGCTGGGAGCTAGCTCAGGACTGTAGGGTGGGTGAGTCAAAATTTCGAAGCCCAGCTTCTGCAAGGTAGTCATCACAACACGACTCTTGTGAACAGGCACAGAAGTAGGACACCTTTGGTCAATTTTCCTATTCTTTTTTCTTTGACTGCTTCCTTTAACAGCTTTAGGATTGAAGCATAGTATTGTCCGGTTATGGAGACACCTTTATTTTTATAATCGATCAACTGGATTCCTTCTGAGTTCCAAAAGACTGTCGTTATGATTTTCCCAGTCGACTGAGACACCTTAAATTTCTTGGGTTGGTGGTGCCTTTTTTGTGCCACTGCATAGAGTTCTGTTTGGACTCATGTTCATAATGATGAACTCAAGTTTCGTCCCCAGTAACAATTCGAGTCAGTACTCCATCCTTATCTTCACTATAGAGGTTCAAAGACGCGCCAGAACACTCCACACGCTGTTGTTTTTGAGATGGAGTGAACATTTTCGGCACCCACCTAGCGCTTATTAGTCATGCCAAGATGGTCGTGAAGAATTTTAAAAATTGTTGTATCTGATATTCCTACCGTTTTTGCGAGTTGTATCTTCTAATGTAGGGCATCTTCCAGTATTAATTTTTCGACGTTTTAAATGATTTCCGGAGTGGACATCTCTATCGGCCGGCCTTGCCGTGGGTCGTCTTCAAGTGAGTCCCTGCCTTGCTTAAAGAGGGTATGCCACTTGTAAACCATGGTTTTACCTGGGCAAGAGTCCCTTATAACGGATGACATCTCTTCCACTATGGTTTGAACTGATACTCGACTTTTTCCATATTTCACAATTTGTTCCTGATTGACTTGTTTCATCGACGATAGTTACATACGATGAAATATGTAGCGAAATTCTTTATATTCAAAAACTTCTTGCAACTTTGAAATTATCCGAGTTCGTTTCCTTTATAAGTTTACACCAACATTTTCCGTACGTAATCAACCAATTTAATGAGAAAAATCTAGGAGAAGTTTCTCTATCATTAGAAAGGGAGACTAACGAAAATAAATTAATCCTAAGACATAAAATCCAATCCTCAGAATGATTATTAAAACCCGAATTATTATTGTGCTATTTTTATTGGGCGACACAAGCGACAACCGTAGAAAGAACCATTATTTGATAAAGAGGAATCGAACATTTTTATGATGAAAAACAGCGGTGGGTGGAAATTTAAAATGTAATTGCTCTTTTTGTGACCTTGACGTAGCATAATTTAATTCGTATACGGATAGGTTAACATGATTTTTTTCTCCTTTTAACTTGTATCAAAATTTACTGCATACAGAAAGTTCGGGAACCGCCTGTAACCTTCGTTTACATACGAAGCGTGCTGAACCTCATATTCGAAAATTTATTTTCTCTCAAAGCGGTTCCTAACACAATTTGATACATCCTCTAAGACATTCAAGCGTAATTTCACGAAAAAGAAAACTTCCAAGTATAAGGTACTCTGAAAATCTCAAATTTTTATATCCCACTATATATGTAAGTTAATACACTGTCGTGTGTGAAAATATGAAGTTATAGGAATGCTTATTAGATACCCACGTATTAAATGCAGCTGTGGGTTATTTAGAAAACGACAATCAAACAAATTTATAAGTTTAAACCGAGTACATCACGAGATGCCGGTAAGACCATCCGATATTCGGTTTGCTTCAAATTCATATTAGTAATGCAAGTCAAAGTCTCTCCTGAATTTGACTTATAAACGCATTTTTTGAAGATTATTATGAACAATATTAAAAATTAGCTTCAATTATACTAATATTTGGAGCAGTGCGTTAAATTTAATCATAATTTCAACATAAGAAATGTTTAACAAAAAAGATGAAACTAACCAAGCTGCAAAATACAGGACCCTATTTCCTTATCTAACAAGGAAAACTTTGTAAACTACCATAAATCTATTATAGAACATTCACTGTCACAAGCATCCCATAAAGTAGTAATGAGCAAAATTGGTCTTGATGTTGCAGTCTTATCCTTAGTTTTAGTAGTAGTAGATTCAGTAGTACATGCGCCGTAGAGTACAAATTTGCTTATCGGTTCTAGGTATCATGAGTTTAATGTTTGGAACAGAGGTTTGAAATTTTGTAGTAAGATAGTTAAAGCTTTGTTGTAATGACTGTCGAAGGCCATTTTTTTGTTTTTAATTTCTATTGAAAATACGTGTCCTACAAGAAACATCAACTTTAAGCACTTGTAAAAGCTTTTAATGACCGTATTAGTAAAAACCAAAAACGTACCGAGTTAGTGTAAACCTTAGTCTGTTACCATACAAAAAATCACATATTTATCTCGCAGCGTTAAATCACAATGTTGAGAATAGGAACCCATATTTTCGGAAAAATTCACACTAGGCTCGAGCTGGTCTATTACTGTCAATCCCCTTAACAAATGACACCGAATCCTTTTCTGTGTACCGATTGCATCCGCGAATAATAAAATTTTTAGCCGCGAATACAGGAACTGGATTACAATTTTTTCATTCGCGAATAGTGAAAACGCGAATAAGGAAACCGTGAATAAGGAACTTTTACTGTATTTCGAATTTTAATTTTCCATATCAAGACAGGGACAATCTTGATTTCGGTCTTAATTTGCCCATCATTACCATAAACTTTGTTAAACTTAGAAATGTTGATTTTTATAAGTTGCCAGATCAATCGATATGCAATGCCGTCATCATAAGCAGCATCAGACTTGAGATACTTTTATTAGCTGAGTAAACAGTGAGTACCAGCCTCTGATGCCGAAGTGTTTCACATTTTAATTATCTATTAATGTTATCTGAAAACCTATTGAATAAATTGATATTCGTATGTGCTATGTGAGTTCATATGTAGGAATAGTATGAGGCATGTGGTACGAGTGAGTACTTGTGTATGTACGTATTCAAATATTTCTGTGCTCTTGACCTGATCTTGTAAATTGCTCCATCACCGCCCGCCGCGCCACACCACATCACCATAAGCATCAGCTACATTGGGTTTGTAACGTTCCGCCCACGATGTTTTCACATTTGGAGAAAAGCCGACTTGGGAACTTAATACTGAACGAATGACCGAAATTCCTGGAAAGTTTACGCGAATCGTCGGCACGAGATTTATTATTCGCAAGAGAATCCACGGCGGACGTGATTCATCTTTGCAATTTTTTAGAAAGAGGCAAAGAAAATTTTAATCCACTCTCTGGCTTCCATAGAAATTGTATTTTTACCAATGTACTCATACATACATGTGTAAAGGCGGCTACCATTGAAAATTACTTTTTCCGGGGGTTTACAGAAAAAAAAATCAGAAATGTTGTACCATTGACCATCACAAAGGCTAACTATTTCTTCTTTTGTTTCTTTTTGGTTGTTGGAGCTTCTTGATGTGTTTGACTACTTACTAAATATTCTTGCAGTTATTTTTATTTCACAAAATTGTTCATTATTCAATACTGTAGTAGGTCTAGGCAATGACAAACAACAGGATAAATAGCGCCTGGATGATCTCTTCATTAGCACCTAGTATAAGGATATTCTGTTTATTTCTTTGTGTCTACTTTGTGATAAGAGTCTTTCGGTATTCCAATACTTTACTTATTTAAATGTAACATAAGAGACCCGAGATAAAAATGTTCAGTCTCTCAGAGTCTCTGAAAGTGAGACTCGAGTCTCCCTCTCGTCGAGTCTCTCTGGTGTCGCTGAGAGAGACTATCGAGAGACTGTCAAAAAAACTGTCGCTCATAGAGAGATCCTCATTTCGTATCCAGTCTCTGAACGAGAGATTCGAATCTCTCAATAAGTGGTGACTCGATAGACATGGTTAAAATTTTTACTAAGTTCAACATATTTCAGAGATCGTAGTCTTTCTACGAGAGAGTCGAGTCTCTCAATTTTTCAGTTTTATTCATTCAGTCTCTCTTTGAGAGACTCGAATCTCTGAATTAACAATTTTATCGTTCGAGTCTTTCATACAGAGACTGTGAGAGATCCATAAAAACACCTAGGCAATAACTGAGAGACTGTGAAAGACTGTGNTGTTGCGTGAACCACCCTTCAGTCTTTATATTAACTGATTTGCTGATCAGAACTGTAGAAAAATTAACAAACATTTACCAAATCTAATAAAAAAAATTTACAATAAAGTAATAGTTGCGGACATTGAGTGTATTTCTACTGCAAGAACAAATATAAATTTGAATCAGTTCTGACTACAGCAAACATCAATTAGTTTGGAATCAATCGACTATGTTTAACAACTTCTGCAATACGAAAAACAAATATCGACTCAAATCAAAATAGTCATGCGGATCTGTGCAGCTTCATAATCAAATAAAGTAATTCCATTTAATATACAAGCACTAAAACATATACAAAGAGATTTATTAATGAAGGTAAATTACAAAATTAGAGATACACAGGTATTATTAAAATACGTTTTTTGAGTCAAACATATTTTACACAAAAGTAACTCGTTCAAGGGTATCTATTGATTAAAGAATCAATCGGTAATTAATTGTTAGCTTTTTTAATGGTTATTGTTAAATCGAAATGTTGTCATTATCAGAGGCGTACTTAGGACGCTATGCTATAAGGCATGTTACGTGAAGCGCACTGTATTAAGCCTAGTTCATCGGCCCAAGGACGGACCTTATTACTGACAGAACTTTTGGCCACACTATCTACATATCTCTAATTTTCAAATGTTGCATTCATAATAAATCACTCTGCATAAATATCATAATCTTTTTCAATCTCACACGGCTTAATCGTGCAACAGAAAACTAAAACAATAAAAAATATCAAGCTGCATTTAAGAGTAAATTCGCACCATTCTTTCCTTCACGATCTGTTCAATTTCAGCAAGATCTGCAGAAGTGGCACCCTCTAATGATTTCAGTGTTAAACTAGATACCTGTTTAGGAAACGTTTTAAGCATTAGGAGAGTCCAATAACCAATAATGTTTACCTAAATTGAGTACACCAAACACCTTTCTAACTTGTTCTTAAAACAGAATAAACACTTGAACTAAACTGGTCCCAAACCATGTATAAATAAGAAAAACATTAAACTAATCAATTATATTACATATATGTACCTGCAAATTTAATTAAGAACTGTAGATGAAAACTGTAAAAATTTATTATCGATTTAGTAAAAAATTCTCGCCATTGTTTGTGATATCCGTAGTTGAATTGAATTAATATGAAATAATTAATTTAAAAACTGTAGGTTACTGCGAAACAATGTAATTGATTTAATAGCAAAAAAATTCCAATTATAATTGAACTTTGAAGAAGACAAGAACCATTGTCGAAAGTATCATACTAATTATGATGTTGGAATTGTAAAGTTCAGAGTAGCGTTTTTGAATGTAAAAAAAATTAGAAGCTCAAACTGTACCCTTTTTCCGTGGCTTTCTTCTGTCGTAGGAACTCCTTGAGGAACGGTTGAAACAAGTATCGATTCCTGGATCGGTTTCATGGGCGGAGGAAGTTCAACTTCGTCTTCAGCTTCTTCACCGTTGGTGGGTTCTGACTGAGCGGATGATCCGTTTCCTTGGAATGACGTCGGGACTCTATCTTCATCGTCTTCGCCCTCTGATACCGACGATTTGTTGCCCATATCTGAGGGAACCTGTAACAAACAACAACAATGGTTAAAACTACAAAAACTTGTGTACAATTATCTACGAAATAGTTACGTATAGACATAGTCAAGGTCGTAAGTACAGCGGAAGTTACGTAGTAATCAGTGAGTGACTAAAAAAAATGTTCGCCACCCAAAGGAATAATTACAATTTTGGCATTAACGGCATTTTTAAGGACGAAGGACGATGCCAAAATGATTCAGTGGAAACACACCAAAGTTTTGTAATTCCACCAAAATCGAATAGAAATATTATTTTGTTGGTGTTTATATTTGCACACTATATATAGTTCATTAAAAACAGAACATACAAGTGGAGTATCATCATTTGTTTATGTTTCGCTTTTGTTTTAATAACAGGCCTGCGAAATTCACGTGTGGTTTTTAACAGTTTTTGACAACCATTTACAAAAACAGATTTTACGTATAGTAAATGACACTCTTTTAAAAGCAAATCCAACGATATAAATATTAATAAATTTTGATAGAATTAAATACAGATAATTTCCAAACGAAATATAAATCCACTTCGTCGTTGTTTTCAAATTTGATGATGTAATAAAATAAACAAATTAATTACGGGGTCAATCATTCGAAAAAGACACTTACACTTACTCCTGCAATTTAATTTTAAAATAGGAAAAAGTACCACACACCACAATTACTACAAATATTGTTCTGCCCCGAACAGAAGTATCGCAGCAACTGAATGTGAAACCATAAGTATTATGATCAGTAGCTGAAGGTCATCATCACATAATAATTAAAACATTAGCGAAACGGCAATAAAACCTCTAAAAATTGATCTATTGTTTGATGCATCCGTTTAGATTGATTTTTTTTTTTGTTGTTCGTGTAAATCAATCAAATTCAAGTAATCATTAGGTGACAAACTTTCCGGTATTTGGTCTCATATTTGTCAATACCTACAGGGAAATTTTCTGTTCTAAAAACATTCGCTATCAATACTCCTCAAACTGTTGTATTTACGGTAAAATAAACTGAAGTAGTTTCCTTACCACTTTATGGGCGTGAATCAATACGTTTCTGTTTTCGAAGACAACCGTTGAATATTTAAACGGTTCATTATTCATATTTTCTCTCATCAATCATGTGGATTTCGGGCGCTAATCGCGGCTTATCACCGTTCAAACACCAACAAAATCTGCTGCTTTGTAAAATGAATAAATCAATAAGCAGCGGCAACTTATATTCTTAATTAACAGCGAAAAACTTTGCTCCAACGCCTCTTTGCTTAATACTAACAGGCACTTGAGCAAACTTTCGGGAAATGTTGCAAATAAGAACAGTATAAGTTCTGTAATTTATCGATCGGTATTTAGATTCCATCAGCACACCATTGGCAGACACTTTAATAAACAAGTTGATTGGTTAGACCTCCTAAAGCGTGCTGATGAGGACTAACATGATCGAAATTGCGATGTGTGCCAGTGTTATGAAATTATATAGAAAAGAATAGAGGTGCGCGTCCAACCAGTCTTAGGAGTGATGATGACGATGATTAAAATGGTAATGCTCTTACTTCAATAATGATGTTACGGATTTTATAATGACAAAAATATTCATATAATAATTACGCGATTAAATAATGAAAGGCAAAAAGCCTATATAAGAAGGGTGCTTTATTCTAATAATACAACCGAAAATATTCGAAAGGAAAATCAAATGCCACAAATAACTTGCCTTTATTCTCTTATCGGAGCCAGTTTTCTTAAGCGGCGGTTTTTCCGATGAAGGCTGCTTTTCTACTTTACCCTGCGATAATTTCCGTAGTGGAGGTGGAAGCCATTTCCGACTGGAACAAAGCAGAAAACATTTATTTTATTTATATTCCAAAAATACTTCATATCTCTCTACCAAAAATGAAAAATAACTGTACCAAAATTATCTACAGAATTTGCATTAGTAACTGTTGCAAAAAAACTGAAAAACTCGAGTACTTTGTCATGTTGCATTTCATTGTTAGCAACTTTAATCGTTTTATCAAAACAAATAATGGAATATATTTTTAAATTCCTATTACATAGGAACACACGTAATGTATGACGTTTTTAATTAAAAAATAAGTAAATATGAGACGGTAATCATAGGTTATTTTGTTATAAAACAAATCCATTTGAAATAATAACATGAACAGATACTATTTTATAGATTTAACTTAAGTGAGATTATGTTCCTATGCAGAGCAATTATCAAAGGAGTGCCTAATTGAAAAACGAAATATGTTTATTGAGTATTAAAATTTGAAGAAATATAAAACTGAAACTCATAATTTTATAATGGATTCCGATCAAGAAAGCCTATGTTCTTAGAGTCAATGAATTAAAGAATAAGAATAGGTTACCATCGTTTTCTAGAATAGAGGTCAAAGCTGTTTATTTTGGTATACGTTTAATTTACGTTTTTTTTACTATCACAAAAGAACCTAATCAAAAATAAATGTTAACAAGTCGTTAAAAAAATTCAATATTTATCGTTAGATGTCCTTAAATCCATTTCCTTTTTCGACATGTGTGGAAATGTAAATAAATTAGGTAAATTACTGATTCATGGAAACTAAACAGAACAAGGTGAAAAATCTATACGAAAGAGAAAAGAATATTTTTATTGAGTAGTTGTTCATTTTGGTTCTTGAAGATGTCAATAAGTTTAACGAAATTTCATATTTACTGCTTAAATATGTTACAAGTTTATGAAATTCGCATAGAAAACTTTGTTTTTTATTATATTGTTAATTTTTAACCTTTGAAAATTTAAGTAACTGTAAAACTTTAAACAAGGAACCATTAAATTGTAAGTAATAACGCTTTAGAAAGGCCTTATAATGCACTACATGTATTCAAAAAAGAAATCTATAAAGTTATCACTTTAATGTCAAATTTTAATCAGTAGGTACCTTATACAACAACAACTGCAATGCCTCCGTATAAATTTTTTTAACTTTCCCATGTTTTCCACTGTTTTCCAAGCACGCTCACTATATTGTGTAGTTTTAATAAGTTAAAATCTTACGAAATTAATATTTTTAAAGTCACCACCGATATAACGTAACATTACGAGTTAAAAATTGTTCTACTACGACAAACTGCTATCACAGTCCAGGTAAGATTTGAACTGCTCATGTAAGATAAGATGATAAGCGAATGGGAATTATTTACATTTGGAATCGCTTGTGTTGTGAATACGATTTTCATGGTGTCTGATTTCAAGGTAGCTCGTCACAGATAACGGAACTGGGGATTTTAGTATTGTCATATTTTTTTTCCCATACGAAAGTATATTCGATATATATGTACATACTTGTCTCCTACATTTTTTTAAATTAAAATAATATGTTTATCAAAAGCAGAGGATAGCGCAGGGTCGTGTCGCCTTTAATAAAAAGAAGTCACTTCTATGCTCGCGAACGGTTAATTTAGAAATTCGAAAAAGGCTGTTAAAGGTGTATGTTTGGAGCACGGCGTTGTACGGGTGCGAAACATGGACAGTGGGAGCGGCGGAAAAGAAAAGGTTAGAAGCGTTCGAAATGTGGTGTTATAGGCG